TATATATATATATATATATATATATATATATGTGATCTTGAGTGATACTGCCCATTTATACCATTGGGCTGAGGAATGTTTGATTCTGATTGTCAGAAATGAAGCGTCAGCTCCACCATTACCCCACAGTGCTGTTCGACAGTTAAGCCTCGCAGCGTGGTGCTCAAAGTCAAAGTGTGTGTGCGCGTGTGTATGCATATATATATATATATATCACTCGATCCACAACGTTGACATCAGCAAACCGCTCACCCACACGACACCATACACGCTGTCTGTCATCTGCCCTGTACAGTGAAAATTCACGGGATTCATCCGTGAAAAGAACACCTCTCCAAAGTGCCAGACGCCATCGAATGCGAGCATTTGCCCACTCAAGTCGGTTACGACGAACTGCAGTCAGGTCGAGACCCTGATGAGGATGACGAGCATGCAGATGAGCTTCCCTGAGATGGTTTCTGACAGTTTGTGCAGAAATTCTTTGGTTATGCAAACCGATTGTTGCAGCAGCTGTCCGGGTGGCTGGTCTCAGACGATCTTGGAGGTGAAGATGCTGGATGTGGAGGGCCTGGGCTGGTGTGGTTACACGTGTTCTGCGGTTGTGAGGCCGGTTGGATGTACTGCCAAATTCTCTGAAAAGCCTTTGGGGACGGCTTGTGGTAGAGAAATTAACATTAAATTCATGGGCAACAGCTCTGGTGGACATTCCTGCAGTCAGCATGCCAATTGCACGCTCCCTCAAAACTTGCGACATCTGTGGCATTGTGCTGTGATAAAACTGCACATTTTAGAGTGGCCTTTTATTGTGGCCAGCCTAAGGCACACCTGTGCAATAATCATGCTGTCTAATCAGCATCTTGATATGCCACACCTGTGAGGCGGATGGATTATATCGGCAAAGGAGAAGTGCTCACTAACACAGATTTAGACTGATTTGTGAACAATATTTGAGAGAAATAGACCTTTTGTGTACATAGAAAAAGTCTTAGCTCTTTGAGTTCAGCTCATGAAAAATGGGGGCAAAAACAAAAGTGTTGTGTTTATAATTTTGTTCAGTGTATATATATATGGGCGAATTCCAAATGGCTTTCTTGCGCCCTTGAAGGACACTTCGGGAAGGGGACGCCATTTGTAGGGATGTTCCCAACAAAAGTGTACAACTGAATCCCTTCACGAAGGGCTCTTCCAGAAGTCAGTTTGCGAAGGGAACGTTCGATGGTCACGTCACAGAAGTGATTTCCATTTGTGATCTTCGGTTAGATCTTGCGATGCATTTTAAAGCAAAGTTGTGGGTGATTTCGACTTCACATACAAACGCAAGTAAAATAGGCTTATTAAATTTGTCTTTATTTTAATGTAATACAAAATATTTTTCATCAGTGATAGAAATATGATTTAAGATGGTAGTGAAAGCACGTTTAAGATTTAAGATGGTAGTGAAAGCACGTTTAAGCAGGTTTAGCTTGAAAACGTTTAATAGTAATAAGACACAATTAGATAATATTTGAATAAAATAATTTATTTGCAACAACTCATGGAGTGTCAAATGCTGTAAGCACGTGCAGCGTTGTCAAGGTAACATTTGGTCAGTCATTCCCTTCGCCAAGGGTGTCCCAAACACTTATACGAGACAGTAATGCCCAACACCCTTCAAAGGTGGGCTCTTCCCTTCGAAGTAGAAATGCTGCTTATTTATACATACACATATACATGCACGGCAAAATATATATATATATACATACACACACATACACACACACACAACATAAGTGAAATATGGCCCCCTGGTACATGTCTAGGATATATTGCCATTAATAAGTCAAACCATATATACATACATATATATAGGGGGCCATATTTCACTTTTGTTTTTAGTTGGATAAAACATTCAGAAATGACATGTGGTTAGTGAAGAACAAAGCTGAAAAAAGGTAAATGCACTAAAGTCAAACTAACCTCCACTCCCGTGTAGTTCTCAAAGAAGAACAGGACCATACTCTGATACACTGAATACACACAGTCATCCACAGTGTGATAGAGTCTGGACGGTAGCACAGTGGACAGCAGCCGCCAGGCGCTCCAGGTCAGCAGATAAGCAGGAGCGGTGCCCAGCATCACCGCTGCTGGAAGCCAGTACCGCAACGAGTACGTGTGCACGACCAGAGACAGCAGCATTTTGACTGGAAAACCCAAATGACTCGAGCGAATCTGATCCCTATACAGCTGCAACTCAAATTAAGTCGGTGTCCCCAGTGACCCTGCCCGACATGCATCGATCTTTTCGTCCAATTCAGTCGATTTCAATTATTAATCACACAATAACTGTGCGAATAATTTCGGTCAAGGAGGGGGGAAAAGTTAATGCAAAATTTCACGCTGTTTGTCTTCCGGAAATTTCCTCGAGGTTTAAAGCATGACATCCCTGTTAATGCAGCGCACTTCCTTGTCTAATAATGCAAAATGCACGAAACTTCAAGATGAAACAGACGTAACTAACTGCTGCTACACCTTGAGTAAACTATACTCTGATTTTAAAAAATGACTAGAAGTAGAGGTAATTCACTTACTAAACCCTCCATAGGACACTCCAGTGACAGAAAACCTAAGTTGATTTAAGCATGAAAACCAATTTTACAGCTTCCTCATTTATACCATAACAAACACAATGTCAAACAAATACAACCGGCCACATTTCTCGCTCGCAAAAGTCATACACGACTTACAGCCTCCATGTTTCAGGATTGTCATCAGTCACATGCTTGTATTGTGCACTTTGATTGGCTGAAGCACGAGTTCCGGTGTTACGAAATTTTAGGCGAAAGGTTTTGCCCAGAGCCATGGAAAGAAAGAGTTGCGTCAACGGAAGTCCAAAACGCTCGATCGTCACGTGATTCACGTAGACCTCAAATAGTTCCAGGAAGTTCATAGCGGGCGATTGAAATATATTGAGTTGGAGAGACAGAACTGTGATTCTTGGTAATTAGTAGACAATAAAATAATGTATACGTAGTATATATATATAGAGAGAGAGAGATGTAGTTATATTAGTGTTGTTTTTAAAAGATAAAATCCTCTAATAGTTGAGGATTAATGTGGTCAGCTATCCGTACCTGCCTTGTTAACATATTTTAGGCTTTAGTTACCATGGTAAAAGTCCGTGTTTGCTATATAAACGACATCGTGGTCTTCTGCCAAGGTTACTTCAGCCTCTCTCTATAAATATAATTATGTGTGTGTGTGTTCTTACAACTTGCTTGTTAGTCAAGTTCAATCACAAATATATACCTGTTCATTGTCGTTTTACTAATCTCATGGTAAATGTTAAGTTTGTTGTCTTAGAAAATTCGTTCCAAATAAATGAAGATATTTTATTAAGTGAAAACTAACCTTGTTCAATGTTTTTGATTCTTGTGCTCCCCTCAGTTATTAATATATAAAAATATATTTGTAGTATATTCCAATTTAAAACAACTTAAAATATTTGTACACATTTAATCATATATTTTATGTATGTTGACTTTTGTTATGCACTTATTTACAGCAATCGATTTATACATTTATAATAAACTATAAAGCCTGTTGTCCTTGAACAGTCTCCACTATAGTTTGCTGTGCTGCATGGGAGTGCTCACTCACAGAAAAGAATGTGAATGTATGGTTTCCCTACTGATCTGGAGAGGATAAAAAAAATTATGCATCAAGTTTTGTTCAATTCACATTTATTTGTATAGCACTTTTTAATATACACATTGTTTCAAAGCAGCTCTACAGAAAATGAATGTTTCTACATTACGAATAAGAGTTCTGTTAACAGGTGTAACTGTGCCAAAGTAATGGTAGAAATGTTCTAAAATTAGGCTATACATATCATGCCGTTAAGTAACGTCATGTATTCAGAAACAGTTAAATATATACAGAAACAATGAACAAATTAAAGCAATGGTTACATGATGTGATCATGTTGATTACAATGCAAGGAAAATGTAGCAGTTTTGTATGTTTATTCAGAGTCAGCTTAATCTGAAGTCCTCTCAAGGGCTGGGTCATCTCTTCACAGGTGTTGGGTCATCTGAAGTCTTCGTAAGAGGCTGGATATAGTCAGCAGGAGCAATCTATAGATTACACCAACAAAATGTGATGTAATCATACTAGGGAACTGGCACTTTTTCACAAAGAGCAGGGAAAGACTTGCCAAAACCAGTGAAGAGACTCATTGTGAGGGTGATGTCTCTTTACAGGGAGTCTTCAGGTGGTTCTTGTTCTGAAAGCAAGATAGCGAAGGAGAAAAACACAGGAGAAATGGTTAAGTGATGCTCCATCACATTGCAGTCCTGTGGCATTCTGTGGCAGTCTATTTAATAACTCCCCACCAGCACTTTTAAATTACACAACGATGGATGAAACTGCATGAAGAGAATGAATAACATCCCGTAAATCTACTAATTAAGTGAGGAATAATCTAATAATCATCTGTTTTAATGCACAGGGTAATTTGATTAGCTGTGCTGATAATATACTATTTTGTTCTATAAATGTCATACCTTTCAAAAGTTCATCACAGCGGTCTCTTCTGCTGCATCTCTATGGCGCTGATAGTATGAGCGCTAACTTCCGGGAACTATTGAGCGGCTCCACGATCCGCCATTGCTGTAAAAAAAACTGGTCCATTGGAGTGAACGGAGTTGTCACAACTCTCTCTCTCTACAGCTCTGGTTTTACCTACATGCAGACAGTAAAAAAATAAAATAAAAACCCGGTACCTCATAAGACTTCAGATTATTACTACTTTTATTATTACTAAGGCTTTGATTAGTTTGATTAAATACATTGAATTATGTTCTCTGCATTAACAAATTATTTCATATTTATGTTGACTTTTTCCAAGTAAACAATTTTCCTATCCAAATATGGATTCTGAGTAATAAATACAATTTATTTCCCCATTAATCTGCAGAATTCCAATACTGGTCTTCTCATTAGCAGAGTTTTTCACTTACTGATCTTTCATACCGGTTTCCATACTCAGTTTTGATTTATATATGATTTTGACTGATTAACAGGATTTGCTTGTGCGCATTGGTGCTTAATCCAGTCTTTCAAACCCCACAAATATATGGTCCAGCCCTAGGCCTTTAGTAAAATTCATGTTTACTCAATTCATGTGTAAAATGTAAAACTGACAGAACATGCCTTGACATTAAATTTGTGACTATAACACATGCAACAGCTGATAAGGCAGGGCTGTCCAAACTCGGTCCTGGAGGGCCGGTGTCCTGCAGAGTTTAGCTCCAACTTGCCTCAACACACCTGACTGGAAGTTTCTATGCCTAGTAAGAGCTTGATTAGCTGGTTCAGGTGTTTTTAATTAGGGTTGAAGCTAAACTCTGCAGGACACCGGCCCTCCAGGACCGAGTTTGGACAGCCCTGTAATAAGGTAACAAAACAAAAAAACAAACAAAAAAACTGAATAAGATGAACATTTAAAATGTGTGTGTGTATAAATATAACTCTTTTCTGTCTGTTTTAAGAAACTTTGATTGTAACCAAATTGTATAGCTTTACATCTACATTTCACTCCTTATTTCACTTCAGATTCAACTTCATGCCTCACCTGCTTTCTGCTCTCTTTCCTTTCTTCCATATCTTACTTGGATTTCCTGACTGCACACTGTTTTCTTAAAAAAAGGTCACACATTCGGACAAGCCATGTTTACCACCTTACAAGAAAAACTAACATTTTAAAAATGTATTATTTGAATTTTAATCCATGTTAAGCGCAGCAACAAATAATACAAGTAGTCACATAATATTTGTTTACATTTAGTGAGCATAAGTTGAAATGAAAATCTGAATCTCAAAGGGCTAATATCTTTCATGATAAGGAGGTCCTCATTTTTGTAGCCACAATGACCAGGGTCGTATTGCATTAGTCAAAACTATTTTATCATTTAAAGTAGTGTTGGGTCGCTCTTGAACAAATCTTTAATCAAATTATCTGAATAACGTTTTTTGGACGGCCCACAGTATGCTATACTTGCAGGAGCTCACCATACAATAGCTGCAGAGGCATCTGGTCAGAGGACAATCAAATTAACGTCCCTTTAATTAAAGACCATTGTTATGCTCTGAAAGTGTAAATCCATTGGGCAATCACGCTTAAATGGCCCACCTGAACTTTACCTGAACTTACCCTATAAAGCAAAATATATATCTATTAAAACTTGTTGCCAGGATATACATTTGCATTTATGCATTTGGTACATGCTTTTATCCAAAGCAACATACACTGCATTCAGTACTTAATTTTCTTTGGGAATCTAATATATGACCTTGGTGTTACTAGCATCATGCTCTATTGTTTGAGCTACAGGAGAGCTGTTATATCTACCTTACATTTCTTGCACAATTAAACCTCTACAAAGAATCATGCAAGAGAAGTGTCCATCAGTTGTAGCCTTTCAAATTCTTCATTCCAAAGGGTCTTTTGAATTGGCCAGTTTTGAACACTGGTTTGGCACGACCCTTCAATGTATACCCTTTGGGAGTGTATTTATCCCATTTGGAACACAGCACTCATTTTGGGTGGCAGTGCACATGCCACTTCTGAAGGTTGTGGTTGCGTTACCATGTCCGAAATCGCTCACTTGTTCACCCATTCACTAATCCCTATATACTGCATGGCAGTGAAGTGCACTATCAGAAAGAAGTTAAATGAAGTGAAGAATTCAGACACCGTGTGACTGATGTTATATTACTAATAATTAACATCAATATTAATATCAATTGATGTTAATTTGGTTTTCCATGAGCAGCCATCCAAACGGTCTATTTTCTGGTGTTGTTTATAGTCAGTAGTAAGGTCCCTTTTCTGTATTATTGTAACTGTGATCTTAACTGCCTACCTGCAAGTCTTAAGGACTGTTCCACAGGTGCATGTGCAATAACTGTTTATAGTTGACTGAACATGCATAAAAACATACAAACGATTTTACAAATGATTTTTGGGTGCACTCAATGGCTTCCAATTTGTTTTAGCAGCTCAATTCTTTCAGGCTCAGACAAGTTTCACTATTATCAGATAGTTTCCAAATACATTATGAACTATATAGTATTATGATAACAACATTTCTCTTTGTTTAATAATGCCAGTGTTCTTTCTAATAATTAAAGGGACAAGTTCAAAACAATTCATTCAGAAATCGGACATCATAACTGTCTGTTTAAAGAAATACTGCAGATTATCATGTTTTCAATAAGGTTGTACTGTGATATTGTATGTTGCTATAAAATGTCAACCACCTGTCAGAAATGAATTCAATCGAATAAAAGATCTAGCTGAAAAGAATGATCTGCTTGAGAGTTTGACAAAAATGTAAGGAAAATGTGACGAGTATAAAAGTCCAACAAATTTTATTTTCAAAAATGCATTCTTACTGTATCTCTTTGTTAAACCTAAGGTCTAAAATGGATGACCTAGCCTAAATGCGAACATTTACTCTTTACTCTCTACCACCTTTACATTTACTTGAAGGATGCATTCATTTTTTAATCACAGTTTTATTAAATTAAGGGGGAAAAAAATACACAGAGTAACATAAAAGACAACTGACTATATAACATGAACATTACAAATCACTACTACACTAAGTTGCCAAGCACACAAAATACAGTAGAGATATTTAATAATAGTATCTATAGATTAAAAAAAAAAAAAAGTCAAAGCCAATTTTTACAACTACAGGAGTATCACATTCCAGGGTTCTTCATTCCAAGACATAGTTTTCATATGGGAGCAGTGTGAGGTGTGTGACACAGTCTGAAAAGAATAAAAACATAATTGTTATATAAAATAAGGATGGCTCAACACTTTCCATGCTCAATTATGTAATCCTGAGTATCAGACCTGTACTGCCCCCCCTCCCCCTCATCAGTTGAGAATATATCTATACCCCACTATCTACACACCACTTCATTATAAAGAGAAGCACACACAAATACACATCTTACTGATACATCTGGTGAAAACCTACATTTTTAAAAACTGCAATTACAAATTTCTATTTTTGTTTCAAGAGTGCCAATATTCTGAACAATACATCTTTGATAGCACTAAATAAATATGCACTACAAAAAGTGTAAATACTAAATATTTATTGTCTTTTATTGCACAAAACTATCATAGTTTTCCATATAGGGAGGCACAAAGGCACATCTGTGTTGCCAAGTTTGCTTGTTATAAGCAACTTTGGGGTTGTTTACAGATCAAATTCATTTACAGATTTGGGTAGACGCGGTTTCATTTTTTAAAATTGTATTTAATTTTATTTTTTCCCCCTTGGGATTATTTCCAGAATACAGTTGCATATTTTGGGTTTATTAGTGGTTGGCTCCCATAGAACTAAATGTATGACTGATTTATTGAAAATAATTGTGGTGAAACAATCTGTCATTGAACATCAAAAAACAAACAAAAAAAACAAACAAACTAACACAAGAACTTATCATAGATGAGAAGAGTGTGAGGAATTCATTCCTCTAAACATAAATAGACAAGTAGTGAAGAGGGTCATTAATTTAATATACCATCAGTTTCTCAAATAAAATGATTTAATGACTTCAGAAGACTTGGAATATAATGCACTAAATATTCTGTGGTGCTTTAATATTTTTAAATTTTATTATTAATATTACTTTTTCTTTATTTATTATTTGATCTCAAAAGTAACAACCATGAGAAACCCCTAGTATCCGATTTGGATTGGTCCATTCTGACTAATACCTGACCCAACAAAAAAAAGGTCTGTATTAGATCGGTAGCAACCTAAGTAAGGATCTGCACATCCCTAATATAAAACAGAGCACTTACATGATTCATGATGGTACTACCATCATGTTCTGTACTACTGTACTGCTCTTGCTCTTACTGCAGAATTCAGTTAAAAGTTTTTAATTGAACGGCCTCTTGGCGTTCCTTGGCAATTCAAAATGGCCAAGGTTCCCAGACCTTCTGCTGTCAGCCTGAAGGTCAGGCTATACAAGACTAACAATCCACTTATCTCCAACTGCCCCTGTAAAGCCTGAAATCTCAGGCTTTAGTGAAAAGTGTAAAGTGAAATAGGTGGACCAATGTAAAACTTCATCTCAGTCAAAAAAACTGAGATTGCACAAATAACCAGCTCTACTGATTTGCTGAACAGTAAGCCTGATATCAACAGACAATGCCCTAATCACCAAAATAAATAAATAAATAAAATATCCCTTCAAATGGTCTTTACATCTTTAATACATCTTTAAAATAGCATAATATCTGCTTTAGATGCTGTTCTTTGAAGGACTATGTGTCCAAAGACTGCGAAGTTGTTATACAGGGCACCGAGTAACACTGTAGCAACTAACATGTCACAGCCCTTCATCCCTGATCCTATAAGCACCCAACACAGAGTATAAAGGGGAGAAAAAAAGTGCAAACCCTTCCATTAACTCTAAATGCACAGAGGTCTATGGGGACACAAATAGTTCACAGTCCTGCTCAAAAAAATCTGTCATCAAAATTCACCCCAAGGAGACTTAAATCACTGAACATCTCTGCTTTTCTTGATTAATTCTTTACTTGCCAGATCTGAATTCTTTGACATATTCAATCTCAAAAGCTCAACAGCTCAAAGAAATGTTCATGAATGACACTAACAGCTGAGCAGCACTCCTCCCGTTTCGTTCACCTAGACCAGAGGTGGGCAAACTTTTTAGACCAGAGGGCCACATCAAGTTTTGCAAACCAAGTGAAGGTCCGCATGCCAAATCCTTGATAAAATAACTTTTATTTACAGTGGAGGTATGCATGGAACATATATTATCTGACAGAACACAACAAAAATTCTTATTTAATATCTATTATTGAGTCAAATTTACAACAGACAATCTAATTTGCACTGCTATTAGTATGTACATATCAATCATCATAAAACTATGTCTGATAAAAACTGAAGGAGAACCTTAGTCTTTGTCTTTCCAAGTCATGGTTATGAGTGTGTTAATGTGAACAATGAACCTGGTCCCCTCTCCTTGCAAGGGTGTCAAAGTCTGGAGTGATCTTTAATGTAGAGATCCTCAGGATAGCTGAAAAGTGGCTGTTTGTTAAATTTGATCTGCAAATCCTTGATAAAATAACTTTTATTTACAGTGGAGGTATGCATGGAACATATATTATCTGACAGAACACAACAAAAATTCTTATTTAATATCTATTATTGAGTCAAATTTACAACAGACAATCTAATTTGCACTGCTATTAGTATGTACATATCAATCATCATAAAACTATGTCTGATAAAAACTGAAGGAGAACCTTAGTCTTTGTCTTTCCAAGTCATGGTTATGAGTGTGTTAATGTGAACAATGAACCTGGTCCCCTCTCCTTGCAAGGGTGTCAAAGTCTGGAGTGATCTTTAATGTAGAGATCCTCAGGATAGCTGAAAAGTGGCTGTTTGTTAAATTTGATCTGCGGTGGGATTTGTTGTAGTTCATGACTGAGTAGGTTTGTTCACACACATGTGTGGATCCAAATAAAACAAGCATTCTTTGGGCATGCTTTTTAATGTTTGGGAATTTTTTTTCATCCATTGAGGTATAAAACTGGTTAACTGGTGCTGTCTGAAACTTCTCCTTTAAAGTACTGTCACACTGGATGTCGATGAGTTCGAGTTGTGTGTCTGGTGGTGCTTTCTCACTGTCAAAAGATAGGGGGCATGAGACAAGTTCAAACTCAGTCTCAATTTTTGCAAAGTCTGTGAAGCGACGGGAAAATTCTGCATGCAGGTTGATCAAAGTTGCTGCTGTACCTCTTAATGCGAGACTGTGTTATTGGTGTGCTTAGTCCAGTCAGTGTAGGAAAATGAGCGAAATCTCAGCTGGATATCTGTCTGGAGAACAGTACAAGTTTGGCCTCGAACGCTTTCACTTTGCTGTACAGTTCATGCACAAAAACTTCCTTTCCCTGAAGTCTCAAATTGAGATCGTTCAGATGCCTCAGTGTGTCGACACGGAACGCGAGGTCGGCCAGCCAGTCTGTGTCTTGTAATTCAGGGAAGTCATCAGTTTTGCCAATCGTACTGATGAACATTGCTATCTCACCTTTTAGTTCCCAGACACGGTGAAACACATTGCAGAGACTTAGCCAGCACACATTTGAATGGTACAAGAGGTTGAATGGTGCTCTGCCTCAGTTTCGTTAAGCAGCTGAATGAACTGCCGGTGGTTCAGCGCTCTTGCCCGTATAAAGTTGACAAGCTTCACAACCACTTTGACAACATTTTCTAGCTTCAACACACTTTTACACAAGGCTTCCTGGTGTATGATGCAGTGAAGAAATATCAGTTCTTCTGAGTTCGAGGTTTCGTCTTTTACTTTGTCTTGTAACCTTTTTAGCAGTCCAGTGTTTTTACCGGTTAGATTTGGCGATCCATCTGTTGTGACGCTTGTCAGCTTTCTCCATGGCAGGTTATTTTTTTCCAGGCAGACGGACACACTGTCATACAAATCCACGCCCCTGGTCGTTCCCATCATTGATTCCATCCCGAGGAGTTCTTCTGTTATATTCGAAATTTTCGTTTATTCCTCTGACAAAAATCAAAAGTTGAGCAGTGTCTATGATGTGTCAGTGTCAGTACTTTCATCAAGTGCGATAGAAAAAAGACTGAAGCCGTCCGCTTTTTTTTTTTTTTTAAGTTCGGAGAGCAGCTCCTCTGCAATTACTTCCCCGTGCCTGGTAATTGTTCTCTGCGATAAGCTAATTTTCTCAAACTAACTTTTAGAACCAGGACAAAGTACGTCAGCAGTCTCCACCATACAGTTTTTCACAAATTCCCCATCCGAAAAAGGCTTGCTGTGCTTTGCAATTTTATGTGCCACTACATAACTAGCTTTCGTTACAGATTCTTGAATAGAGCACTGTTTTGTAAATGTATTTTGCTGGGCTTTTAAGTTTGTGGCAAGTTTTAAAGCCTTGTTTGCCTTTTCTGCAGGTGACAGGTTGACGGCATAATTCGAATGCTTACTTGAAAAATTATGACTGGGGTTGTAGTCTTTAAAAACCGCAATACATTCTTGGCATATTAGACAATCCCGCCTTCTGTCCGATATTGGTGAAGTAGTATTTTGTTGTCCATTATTCCTTGAACACATGACATTGAGTCCCCTTTTCTTTTTTTCGCCACACTCATTTTCACTCATTAACGTCCGAGTTACCGAGTGCATTCTAATTCTACTGTAGGCGCTAACTGTACCGCGTACTATACTGCCATCAAATGGCGTTTGCTTGTATTGCATCAAATTAGTAATTCTGAACTAAAACCGTTACTCAAATGTAGAATTTTTAAAAACTCCCTCGAGGGTCAGATGAAAGTGTTCGGCGGGCCGTATTTTGCCCCCCTCTGACCTAGACAATGACTTACAAAGAACAGAGCAAGTTGTTTCAGCTCTCTCTGTCGCACACTACACATGAAACCCGAGATGAGAGAGTCATTCGTAGAGTTTATGTTGAGGACCTTTGATAACTGTCATGCCAAGCCTGCTTCTCCTGTGAGCTCAGGAAGAGAATGCTGGTGCTTACCCTCCTTCGATGTGTATCATCCACGCAAGCTTGATCAAATTTGTGTAGTGTTTGACTCCAGTGCCCAGTTCCTTGGAGAGTCTTTGAACAATGTGCTTCTAACGGGCACTGATCTAAATTCTTCTAGGAATAGTCTACTAGGAATCCTGATACGCTTTAGCAGCATGGCAGAATACCACATGAAAGTCCAAGACTTCTGCAACAGCCTC